TTCGAACAGAAACTAATTTCCTATAGCACTATCGTTGTAGTCTACCTTCATCTGAGCTTATCCTCATCTACCTTATCTCTCGTATCCGTAATTATTATAACACGTTCGATTGAGTATTGGAAGGATTTCATTTCGTTTATCCGTAAACAAACATTACAATCGACATCCGAAAGTAATGAATTCTGTGGATCACGTCTTTAATAAATTAAATATATACGAAAAGAAATACCCAGAAGAAAATCACTATAATTATTTCCAAAAGTATTTAATATCTCAATACTCCTGCGTCTATAATAACTATACCATACATTATTAATACAATTCCTTTGCATTCAAATACCTACTAACACAAAAATACCATAGTACACTCAAAACCTATAAATTTCGATTTCTCCACAATCTTCCAGTATCGACAACATTATACTCGATTCACAGCACTTTAAAACGCGATATTTCCCAACGATATCAACAATCAGAAAAATAATAATTTACTGCCCATAACTCGACAGAAGAAGCTATCCAAGCACGAAACGTCGGCCGGAGAAGTCAGACAGATAATTGCTCAGCTTCGTTCCCGCTCGGAACGGACGGATTGATATTTTCCACATAAACTACTCCCGAACGGTCGTTTCAGGCAGTTTATACAGCCCGATACGTAAACTTCATCCCGGCCTCGCATAAACTATCCTCGCGCATCTTATCGGATATATTCTTTGTTTTTTATTATGCGCCCCATCGCTCTCACACTCTGATGTTCTCTCCCTTCCTCCCTCTCCGGGGCGTATTCGGTTTCCACCCTTCGAGCCGCCATTCCCCGATGTAAATTCTATTTACTGCCTACGCTGCGGAATAGATATTTGCGGGCAGTTTCGCGCGGAGCGCCGAATGGGTCGCCGTGTTCCCGCAAAAACTCGATTCCGGCGGACGTTTCGGGCCGCGGTGACAATTATCCTGCGGACCGCGGTGCATCTGGACGCACTGTTGATGCAACGGCAACGGAATAACCGAGCAATAATAATAATCACAATAATACTAACGCACGATAACTGGTACAACAAGGAAATACGCTCTCCAGGAACGTACGGCATGTGAACCTATGCGGACGTTTATGCAAATATAGATTTCCATTAGAGATTCCTTTAGGAATCTCATTAAACTTGATGAAACTTTTTACTGTGCCGAGTTTCAGACATTTACGCGCGCTATATACAGTACGCCGCCTAATGTCGCTTCTTGGGGAACAGTGCGAGCGTGGATGAATGCGATTAACATTATCGAAGTAGTTCAAATCAATTTCGCATAACACGGTGGAAACTAATTCGCTTCTCTTTAAAACGAATTTAATATTCTTATAGTTTCTACTTGAAATGTAGAGCAGTGGTCTAGAAGAATGTGAAGTCTTGGATATTAAACTCTTGCCTTATAACAATGTGTCAGACGGTGAAGATTTTTAATGTGATTTAGTGAACATGGATATTACTTGATTCATTCGAATTCAAAGTGAAGATTTTTCTTTTACAATCAATCATTATACTTAATTTTTATCTTTTTCTAATGAATTATTAACGGCAAAATAGTCGTATCGATCAGAGTCAAAGGAGAAATCATCGAGTAAGGGGTTAATATATCCTTTGAGTCTTGTAAAATCATTACTATTAACTCTTCACCGACGAGAATTATTTAAAGTAATAAAAAGGTCTTCCATAAGCAGCTAAATTATATGTCAAACTCTGAAACACTAGAAAAGAAGAAAACCAGTGACTGATATTTTGTTATTTAAATAATTAAATCGCTTGCGATACCAAAATCCAATGTGACTCGTCCTCAAAGGGTGAAATTAATAAGCATACCACTCTCAATTTCCAACCTCCCTCTCAAATATCAGACGAGAACGAAGAAAAAAAAACTCAATCCAATATTCCATACTCAATAAACTTCGCCAGCTGTCGGCCATCTTGAATATCAAACATCAAACTTTCCAGCGAGCTTCTCGTAACTGTCATAAACAATCTTTCCCTAAATATTCCATTCCCGATAACAGTGAAACAATAACGAAAATCAGCGCCCCGAGAAAAACTGGCATTTCAGGCCAAGAAAATGGAATCTCTCGTTCCGAAAGCCTCTTGCCAGAGATTTCCCGGATATCTCTCGAGCGTCCTTTTATCTACCAGCAGCCCGACTTTTACACTTGCAAACGAGTGTCAACAGCTGCGCCCGGTTCCACCGGAAGTCGCGTCCGATGGCAGCAGGTCGATCGCAGAGTGCTTTCTCGCGAAAGTCGCTTGAGATTGAGACAAATACACCGTACACGGTCCATCGAGTTAATGTTCCTTCGCCCGATCCCTCTCTCTTCCTTTCGTTTCCGTTCTTCCTTCTGTTTCGCTTACACTCTCACACCCACACATTTTCTCGAGGCATACGGTATCGCCGTTATTTATCGTCGAGCCTCGTCGTCATTTTTCACCGGCCAGGTATTACCCGAACCGTGGTCTCCACCTCGAGTTTTACTCGGAACACTCGGGCGAAACGACTTTTTGAAAAATCAGGTTCGGGGGTGTCTCGTTTCCGACCGGAAGCGGCTCGGCGCGAGCGAGATTGATGAAACCCGGCCGGATCGATCCGCTTGATGCACACGTCGCGTCGCTGCAGAGGAATTTTAATGCTAACGGTTTTTCAACGGTGAACCCCTTTCTCCCGTGATTCCTTTAACTCTAAACATTCGGTTGGAACTGTTCGTTCCGAATCTGACTTGGTATTATCGGAGAACGATTGATTCTTTGGTCACAGGACATTCTTTTTCTTCTTGGTTTAGATGTTATGCGAGTATTCTGCTTTTAGACTAGAGTAAACTAGTAAGAAACGATCGTCAATAGTTGATGCGTATAGGAAGCACTATAAATATTTTAGTAATTTATTATTATTAAAGAAGATATAAATATTTAAATAAAACGCTATTAAAGGAGCTGTACATATTTCAGTACAACTTTATAATCTCTACTGAAACAGGAACTATGCAACTCAACGTTTAGCTGTTATAAATAGTCAATAAATCAAACTCCACGGTACAGAAAAAAGTATAAATATTTAGATTTAGAATATTAGAAGCTATAAATATTTAAATGAAACGCTATTAAAGGTGTTATAAATATTTTAGTAAAACTCTAATCTCTATTAAAACAGAAACTAGGTAACTCAGCGTTTGGCTGTCAAGCATAGTCGATAAATACAAACTCCACCATACAAGAAAAACATAAATTCAATACTTAGGAATACACAGTCGATTTTATCAAGATTCAGATGTTTGTTGTCATGAAGTCATGACTGCCAAGGGGTGGTCAAAGGGCTGCTATAGTTAATAAATATAATTAAAATTTCCAATTTCCATCAACTCGCGGTCCATTATTCGATAAATAAAAACAACAAGCCCATAGTTGCATGGGAGAAGAAGAATGGCGAAAAAAGGGGACGCGAAGGAGAGCGCGGGCCGTGACCGGGATTTAATTAAAGGGACAACGAGGCTCGTTAGAGCGACAGAGATTCTTTTCTGTTTCGCGTGCGATTCGCTCCACCGTCGTAGTTCCCGTGTTCTCTTCCTCGCCCGTCCGCATGCTCGTGTAATTAAATCCCGCTATTTGCATACCTTCCCGCTTTCTCTCGTAACTTTGTTCCCAATTATTCGGCGCATCGTTTCGCAACGCGTACCGGAAGTTCCTAGCGATTTCGGGAACACTTCGGCTGAAACAGGCTCCGGGAACGCTTGCCTCGATTTTCGAATATTTGGGAAATTTCGATGAGCGATTGTGGCGTTGACGGATCTGGTACTCTGTACGGTGACCATGTGCAGAATGTTTTAATAATTTCTCTAATTATCTGAAATATTCTAGCTTCTTTTAAATCCCCGAATTAAGATCCTTTTCACGATTGATTTTTATTTCATTCAAATTATCCTGAACACCTTCGCGTTAATAGTTTTTGTTAAGATAGTTGCTTTTCCACTTTGTCGTTAATGGTAGACGAGAAGAAATTTCACGTTTTACGCGAGTCTACGTTTAATTTGGAGCTTAAATATTGGTTTATCGGCGCACCCTGTGTACACTAGTGGACAATTCCGATCGAATCGTTTCTGAAGCGGCTTAATCGCTGTCATGGACTTTCTGCCCTGTTCCTGTTTCGGGAAATTGAACCTTGTCGCAGACCCTGGTCTGCTCTAAGATCACTCCGTTACACCTGACAGCGGCTTTAATGGAACCCTCGGGGCCACGGAGTTTACTCCATTCCGACAATTACTATCGGCAATGCCGGCGGTCTGTCGTCGTGTGGTCTCAACTAGATTTCCTGCCGAGATTGACGAACTTGGCGCGAGAAAGACCTCCACTGGCCTTCTTGCCCCTGCTCAATAAATTTATACGTCCAGAAATATACTATCGATTAAAATCATGGCACTAGTCAAATCATTTACGGTCGGTTTATTACTTAAAACTAAGAAAGTTTGTATAAACATATACGTATCTAAAGGAATTCTATCAAAGGAACATCAAAGTTATCCGATTCCCAATTCCCGCATTAAAATCCCAGATCGTAACATACCACGATCAAAAAATAAATCATGCTTGTAGGATAAAAACAGAAGTTAGTCAATACTTCCTCCTCGGCTCCAGCAAACTTTCTCATTCCAGAAATTACGCTCCACGATCGATCGTGGCTAATACACGTATCAACCAAGTACAGTAACGTGAACAACGTTCACAAGAAATCCGCTCACGATCCCGCGTTATCATCCATCGTGCCCTAACAAGTAATCCATCCTACCCCCAAAGAGGACGCTAGAAGCTATCCAATCCTCGAGTTTCTCCAAGCGTGATAGCGACAAGTAACCTTTCCCGCCACTCCCCGGAAGTCCCCTGATCCCCAAGGGATGGAATTTCCGCGGGCGGTCCCGATCCAAGACACAAAATGCAAGGGCAAAATGATCAACAGCTCCCCGCAGACCAGGTACTCACCTGCGGAAGTCTCTGCTCCAGCAAGCGTATATCACCGGATTCATGCCGCTGTTGATCCATCCGAGCCACGTGACCGCGGCGAATACGATCTCCTCCTGCCAGATGCACTGGGTGCAGAAGCCGGACCACAGGTTCACCACGAAGAACGGCAGCCAGCAGACGATGAAGACACCCATGACGATCCCAAGAGTCTTCGCGGCTTTCTTCTCTTTGGCGAACTTAGCCAGCTTCCTGGACAACGAGAAGTTCTTGCCTAGGTGTTGCTTGGTGATCCTCGTGGACGGCACCCTGGCCAGACAATTATTGTGGATCGCGGTGAGCGGCTCCTCTAGATCCTGCAGGTCTTCCGGCGTGCTGGAGGCGGTGCGGAACAGGTGCCTAGCATCCGTGTTGGTCCCGCCCCCTCTGTGCATCCTAAGAGTCAGTTCCAGCTCGCCGGAAGCCATGATCACTTGCTTGGTGCCAAGTTTCAAGCTTCTCGTCTGGATCACGGCTGCCCGATAGATCTTGTAGTACGTGAACACCATGACGAACAGCGGCACGTAGAAGCTGATCGTCGAAGAGAAGATCAAGTACCCTAAGTGTTCGGTGAAAGGACACTTATCCTCCGGCACCTCCTCGGTGCGCACCGCCCTCCACCAAGCGATCGCTGGGAACGAGATCGCGCTCGAACAGATCCACACAATGGCGATCAGTATGGCCGCCCGCTTGCGGGTCATCTTGCGCGGATAGGTGAACGGGTCGGTCACCGCCCAGTACCGGTCTAGGCTGATCACGCACAGGTTGAGGATCGACGCGGTAGAGAACAGCACGTCCAGCGATCTCCACACGTCGCACCAGTCGTGCGTGAACAGCCAACGGTTCTCGAGTACCTCGTAGATCGCGCTGAACGGCATCACTACCAGGCCGACCAAACAGTCCGCGAACGCCAGCGACGTGATGAAGTAGTTGGTCGCCGTGTGCAGGTACCTCTCCCTGACTACTGCCAGGATCACCAGCATGTTGCCGAATACTGTAGCCACCGAGAAGAGAAATAGGATGATGGCCAGGCCAGCCCTGTCGGTAGCTAAATGCCACAGCTCCTCGTAGCTGGTGTTCTGCAGAGGGTAGCTAGCCGTGTAGAACGTCCTGTTCAACTGTTTGCTCGGCACATTTACCTCTTCTTCCGAACCGAGCAGATAGACCGCGGTCTCGTTCATTTTTCGTAACCGCGGGAGCCGACCCACAGACCGCGCTCCGCTTTTACAGGCAGCCCTTAGCTCGCATCAGGTCGCCGATCCGTCGACGCCGCGTCTCCTGCGACCGATACCCCGGTGCCTGCTCATTTTTCCGGGTGAATAATGGAGCGCCGATGAACAGCTCTTCGTCTCACGACATTGATTAACGGAAGGTTGCTTCTAAGGTGTGTTTTCCCTGGATGGTTCCAGGCAGTTGGATCTTCGAGTGTGATTCTCGTGGAACGACTGTAGAAGTTTGCAGGCTAAAGTATTACTGGGAGGATTTAACGACCAGCTTCCTGGTGTTGGGCACCTGGAACATGAGGAAGAGCTTACTTTAGTAAATTAAACTTCAGGTGATTGCGTAGTGCTCGGCTGCGTAGAGTTGTTTGAAGTAGTTGTTTAATTAGATTGTTTATCTGTGGATTGTAATTAGCTTGCGGATTTGTTTGCGAGTGTGGAGTTTTGTGGAGTTCTCTTTGAGAATTATAATGTACGTTATAAGAATTTGTATTAGTAATAGGGGTAATTTAAATATAACAGAAATGGTATGTTAAAAGTAGAAGGAAAATTACATGTGTTGGTTAATGTAATTGAAAACTGGAGAATCAATGTAGGACAGCCATTTGCAGCATTAGGAGACTCATTTTGTTCTACAAGTAACGAGAAACTTTTTTCACCGAGTATTTCTTTATTCAATGGATTATCCTAGCCCACCGCCCGGGACTCATATCGAGATAGAAACCGACGATGCAAAGTTATAGCTGGATGGACTTGCAACGTTTTATTGCGATCGCGTCGCGCCGTTTGCTCCCTCAGGATTACGATGTGAGACTTTAATGGGGAGAACCGGCATCGTAAAGCGCGTCGATACGCGGTGATTTATCAGTTTCCATTCCGCACTCGCTAGGGACTACGCAGAAACACCTTGCGTCAGAGTTTTCAAGGAATTTTCCCCTTTCTGGGGGTATACTTTGATAACGCGAGCCTTCTGGGGCTTTGATGGAAAAGGGGATGGTTGATTTAAAGTCATTGATCACTGGTGGACCGTGGAACTTTATTCAAATTTACGCTATCATAGACAAGTCGATAGAAATTCAATAAAATTTTGTTCTTTCATCAATGATTTCATTATATAAATAATGAATTCATTCCTTAACCCTTTTATATATCACAAGTAAGAAAGTATTCCATAACGAATTGATACTTTGATTTAAAATAATTATCAACAACGCATTCCAAATAAATACTAATAGAACCCAAGAATATCTCAGCCCAAGAACAAAACCATCAAAAGATAATTCGAAACTTCCGCAAGATCAAAGCAAACCCGTCCACCGTGAATCCCCAAAATTCCATCCCCTTCAAAGAAATCCATTCGAAAAACGGTTCCCCAACGCAATTAATCGTCCGCTGCGCCGTGCAATCCCGGTGTATTTCCTCATCGAAACGAGCGAGGTGTCTCTCCGGCTACGGTGCCGGAATAATTTCCCTGTTCCCAGTAATTGTCAATCATTTCGCGGCGGTGCTCGCGCGGAACGGGGCGCGACTCGATGCAAACGATTTAGCAATTTTTTCCTCGGCGCACAATCCATCCCACCGGCCGTCTATATTTAACCTTCGGTAAAAAAGTGTGATAAAGAGCCAGAATACACAGAGAAACAGAGAGAGAGAGAGAGAGAGTGAGAGAGAAAGAGAGAGACACGTCGGACAGCCGTTAAGGTGAGCGAGAGAGGAAGACCGAGTACAAGAGGCAAGAAGGAACACAGAGAGAGAGAGGGTGTCTCTGATTTCGTGGCCAGACCACGTAGCATGGAAAACAGGGGGGCAGGGCTTTCATCCGTGACCTGGCAGAATGTTTACCGGTGCTTGATCAAAGGGGTTTCGATCGGCGCTTGGATCGAGGCTCCGCGGATGTGTAGCCGGCGCTGCGCTGACTGCGCTGTTTCGTTCAGGCTCGCACGGCCTCGTGGGGGATCGCTGCTCCGCGATCGTGGCCGTCACCGTAACACGTGTCAGGGCCGATAAACCTTGCACCCGTGTGTGCCGACGCCGCGTGTATCGAACGGGCTCTTTTCTGCCCCGGATCCAGCCAGTCAGCTAGCTAGCACCCTCGTTTATTCTTGACTTTCAATATTCCCGTCGACGCCACACCGTGGCCAGCACCGCGCGCCCGATTTTTCGAAGCCCGGAGCTGCTTTGAGCAACTACGAACCCTTCCAGCGGTCCTTTGATCTCGCGTGACGGTAGAGAAACGTTTTCCTCGGGGAGAACGTTGTTGAGACAGGCTCCGGGAGATGTTAGCGAAGCTGAGACGTCTTGGATCGGAAGTATCCGCACTGAGTTTGGGAGGTTGTTGTAATGAGTAAGATCGGAGGACACGAAGACGAGAGGTGCGCGGTGTAGAAGCTGTTTGCTTTCCAAAGAGAGTCCTGTAGGAAATTTATCTTGTTTCGCGTTCAGTGCTACTCGTCGGAGGGTCGAAGAAGTACTGATGAATTATCGTGCCTTTTAGCTAGAAGCTTCGAAACTTCGTCCGTCAGTGAAAGCATCGAATATACTATGCTTTAGACAGTTGTTACTAGGGGTAGGTATTATTGGAGATTTTCAGGGAGCGAGAAAGTTGGACAAGCCGCGTGCAATTCGTGTGCATCCTTTGAAGAACCGCTCAACTGTCTTTGCTGCTAGGCATGGAACGCATTGCTGAAGTTTGCCAGCTCAGGCCTTTCAAAGGCTCGTGAAACGCGATGAGAGTGTAACCTCGAGGCGGTCTCTCGATTCGGACTCCGCTTGTAACGCGTCCGACACTAGCGTTGGATTCCTTGGAGAGTTGTCGATAGTTTGCGCCGGGATATGCTGGCGACGTTTGCTTGATTAGTACGTCGGATCGACGAGGAACGCGAGTCTCCGCGGAATGCGTTGGGATTCGATCAGAAGTTTGAAACAGGAGTTTCCGCGGCGAATGTTTTTGGCCTCGCCTGTTCGATCGGACGAACGGGAACAGCCCGCGGAGATTCTTCTGTAAGAGAAGTTCGAAGCTAGTTTCGGACGCAGTAAACGCAGGCGTTCAGTCCCGCTCTCTTCGTGTATACTTCCCGCGATACGGATTCTTGGGTAATTTCGAATTAATTGAAGCGCGGCGCCGGCTACGAAATTCTGATCGTTACACGGCCAACTAATTAAACAGCGATTACAGTGCCCGGGAACTTGCACCGGAACGCTCGAAGACTGCGATCGAAGCGTCGACGATCGCGCGCCGCTGCTTGCGGAAACGCGCTGCGGGGCTTAAGTCACCTTCCCTGGTCTCTGATTTAAATGCCATCTGTGCTGAACCGATTAAAACTTGGCGTAGAACGAGCCTTTGCTCGAGAACAAAACGAATTCTTGGGAAATGTAAGCCTAAGGAACTGGGACTCGAATATTTGATCTAATTTAGGGCTTGAAGTAGGGCTTTCGCGAACAAGATACTTTTTTAGGTTTGCAAGCGGTGACGGGTGAATAGTTTCTGCGAAACCTTAAATAAGCTACTCTTTACTACTTAACTTACTAACCTACTTAGTTTACTTTCCTGATACTCTGAATTAGGTGAAACTAACAAGAAGTAGGGCTTTTGCGAACAACAGATGTTTTGTAGTCTTACAAGGTCATGAAATGATTTAAAACCCTATGAAATATTTGTCTTGCATGAAGTTAAATCTATATCTTAAGTTTAAATGGGATGACGTTTTTATTTTGTGGCAACTTTAAATCAGACATTTCAAGGTAGGGCTTTCGCCAGCACTACTGTCATTTAGTATGAACGATGTCGAAAAAGAGGTGTAGCTAAATATGTCACAGATCCTCCTAAGTAGCGTCTAAGTCTCATCGGAACCGATATCCTTGTGCAGATCTCAAAGGTATCGCTTTCTGAGTAATTCACAATCTATCAGGATCCCAAATTGGCGATCACAGATTTTCGAAACCACTTCCATCACTTCAATATTTCTCGGGTTTCTTAAGCCTCTAACAAACATGGAAGGATTTATTCTTCCACGTGATCCTCGAAAATTCCGTGTTCAACGGTTCTCAGATGGAAGAAAGTACTTTTACTAAATCTACTGGACAGCGATCTTAAATTTATGGAATCGTACAAAAATTTCCAGAAGAACACTTGGCAGTTAACTCGGTCCCATAAACTTTCGAATACTGGCAACGAGGTTAAAAATGGCTGACCAATTCCGGCGCACTAAATTCTTGTCTCCTATCCCTCGTCGGTTTGACTTAAGTAGTCAGTTTTCAAGGAAAATGGAGGAAAATCCGGACAATGTGTGGTCCTGCGCCCACGACGAGAATTAGAACGAGAAGTGGAATAGAATCCTCGTTCGACTACCAGAAATTACGAATCGAACGGCACGGTCCCTAGACAAATGCGAACTTTTGTCGTTTTTATAGATTTAGAGGATAACTGTGATCGATTGCCCTTGTACCGGGGGCAGAAGCCGTCTCCGACGGGAAACAGTTCCTCTCTCCATTAGAAATAAAAGCCGACGTCGCTCCCGATCCCTCGCTGTCGTTTCTCCCGTCCATTCGACGTCACCCCGATAACTCGAACGATCAGACACAGGTGAAATCCCCGGTCGCGGCTCTAACAAGGTACTCTCGCCGAGGGTGTCTCGGCTAAAGAACACTTGAATATTTCCTTTCCATTTAACGATATCAAAATACTCGGCAAAAAGCTCTCGAAGCCAATTGTAACTCAATACAGCGATATTATGATATTATGATCTTTATTTCTACTGAATTTATTGACAAAGCAAAGAAATCTTCTCATTTATTCCAAGGATAAATCCTTCATAATAATTTATACGCAACAAATAAATAATATCAGCTTTTATTAAAGTCAATTAGAAATCTTCTCAAACTCAATCATTATTGCACGAATTAATTTTGTCTACTATACTATGAAACAAAGGGAACATTGCGTTTATATCAATAAAAAGTTCTTTCATCTCCATCAATGTAACATTTACAACGCAATTAATGAAAGTTACGAAAGAATAAGTGCGACCAAAAACCAAAAGAATTTATCTAACTAATGTGCTAACCTGTACTTCAATGATAGTTCCATTGAATAACCCGAAGCTCGTCTCGGTGTTCCCGTAAAAACAGAAGATTAAACACCCCAGCGTGCCATGCGCGTAAAAAGGAACACACGAGCGATAAATGGACGATCGTCAAGAACAAACGAGCAACGCGAGATCGCCGCGAGGCAAATGGCGCAGCCAGTTCCGCGCGAATTAACGTCCCCGTTAAACCGCTAATCGGACTTTCGTCGTTCGACACGCAATCCCGCGGAGAATCGTTTCTTTTACGCGTTGTTTACGCTCACCGTCGCACCAGAACCGTGAACCCTTTTCTTCAACGCTCCGTTCATCAAAATTCAAGACGGCGAAGAATATATTTTTTTCCCCCGCCGCCACGGCAAACAGAATCTCGATCCCCCGCAGCGACTCGTAACGAGGGTTCAGTAAACAATCGAGAACGCGAAAAAGTAGCGTGTCCCCGTGTTTGCTCGAGGAATTGCGTCTTGACTTTATTTGTCTCCCTTATTTATTGTGCGACGAATTAACGAGAATTTCGTCGGGATTTCTGTAGCAGTGATACGTCTCGATGTTTGTTATAGAAATTTTGGGGATTGTTAATACGCAGGATTAGAGAGGAATTGTTCTTTCTTAATAGAAGAATTATTTTATTCTTTCGAGTAATGGAGATTCTTGTTAATTGTAAAAGGAGTGGAATGAAATTACAGGTTTCCTGTGGATGAGAAGTATTGATATAATAATACAAATTTTTAACCCTTTGTTTGTTATGATTTGTTACGCGTGATTCATATAACCACGTTAATTATTTATTAGAAAGAGGAAAATAACTTGATACTTATTCTGTATATATTTACTCTAACAGTTAACGATTGATAGTGGAAAAGTAGTATGTGATTTAAATTGAAAAAAGTCAATCATAATCAGATTTGTCGAATTCAGTTTAAAATTTTCATTGCGAGACTGACACGCTGTTATAGGAGAAAGGGTTAAAGAGAGAATTGCAGTGGAATTTATTGTAATCCATATTGCTGATTCGAGGATAAAAATGGCGGAGGATGTGGGCGATATTGTAAATATAAAATGTAATTGCGCCGTTTCCTGGTGTATGAATATTCTAATAAATTGCGTAAAGCTATCCCAAGAGGAAGGAACTTCAAAATTGGAATATCCAGGGTTATTCCGTGAAATTTACTGAATGTAATAGCTACGTAGGCGACGAAAGGGATAGAAGTGATAATAGAATATTCAGAATGAATTCTTAAGTAACGGAAACCGCTCGAACTCCCAGGGGCGTGATATTAGATTCATGCAAAAGTTCCCACTGTGTTTTGATGAAATAAGATCGTCTGGTGATTAACCGTTACGTCAGAACGCAGCGCGGATTAGTCTTCAATTGTTTCCGTGCCAGCTGCGCCATTGTGACGATGTTTCATGTTATACCGAGAGCTGAGGTCATTTGCATGGACCCACCTTTATCTCGACGGAAAAGAATAAACGAAGCCAAATGATATTATAAATCTCAGAGTAAACCTTCAGAAACATTCGAGCGATTTATGTTTCCAACGCGTTATCACTTGAACATACAAACCGAATTTTACGAATATGTGATTATATAAACTTTAACAGTTTCATGTAATAATCTAATTGCAATGTACAATAAAATACTATCTTAATTTCAACTAAATTAAAGTAATTTACTAATTACTCTAAATTAAACTAGTTAAACTAGAATAAAATCGAAGTAAAAAGTTTATTCATGAATAATCAGACATTCTCAAAACATTTCGAATTTATATTTTGTCATTTCATTGCTCTTTGTTTTATTGTTAATAAATTTTACGGTAAATAAAAATTTCAACAATATAAAGAGTATCAAGAGAATGATCAATGACCCAGGCGTGGTACTTCGAAGGTTAACACACCAGAATACATAATTATCCAGCGACTCGATGGTTTAGAGCTTCGGGGGTGAAGAAAAACGACCGAAGGACGCTCGGGATATGGGGTGAAGGATCACGAGAACGATCTCTCGCGAGGGAAGCCGAAAATTGGAATTTAATTTCGTTGAGTCGTCGGGGCGGCACTCGATATCCGAAGATTGAGCTGGAAAAACGTCGGAATGGATCCGACTGGCGGGAACCATCGAGGCGAAAGGGAACAATCGACGTCTGTCGGATCTCCTCGCAGCCGAGATATGAGCCTGGACCCGATCCCGAAGGATGTCTGCGCGAATTGCAGGTGTCGGATGTGAAATCGAGCGAAACGAGACCGACTTCGCACCGTAACAAGCACGTGCGTGCGCGGGTCGAAGGTTAACACGTTAAACAGCACTAGAAGATTCTTGAAAACAGTTCATGGGGTCAGAAAAATTCATTTCTCATTCATTCGTCATTTGAATTGTAAACTTTCATTATTTCATTCAACAATATAATATATCGATAAGAAATCCTGATATAAAACAAAGAAAATAATGTGATACATTAATTATATTGAGATGTAAAATGTAAAATATACTGTAGGTTAAGTATATGCAAGATTTTGAAAGGTATACGTGATTATGATTAAATAATGACAACAAAATTATTATTACTACTCAATAATGATAAATAACAATGTTCGACTCGAATGACAATCACTGAACACCACTCTGACTTTTCTACTACGACTGACAACTAAACGACCCCTGACCTACGTCTACTTTTAAATCCAAATTTCAATTCTATTCATGGTTTTGTTTAAGCATTGCCAAACAACGTGACCTTCGGCTTCTTTATCCAAGTCTGTCTGACTCTTTTTCTTAAATCGTGACTCTTAGAACTGCGAATTACACTTATAAGATAATATAGTTAGAGGATCTGCAAATCCTTCTTCATCGTCAACATCAAAGATCATCTTTATTTATTTTTACTATTTTTTAAAGTTTGTATTTACACATGGGAAAAATTAATTGCGACAAGTAATGAGATTCTGGCGGCAGTCCTTGAGGACCATTATAGCAGTTAACGCGTTGAACTCGGGATACGCCGGAAATTCAATTAGACGGACGTTCCATCGCCGTTAACGACTTCCCCTTTGGTCACGTGGCGTTGCTCCGGGGTCTAGACTCAATACAATAGCCGCGATTCGAATAACACCGCGGATTAAACAAACGCCTGTTCGATACAAGGGTCTTCGATTTTTCGATTTCGCCTGGACAAAGGATTCTTTTGCTCCTTGTTTCGCGGAGTTTCTAAGGTGTCTTTTATCGCCATTGTAGCTTCGCTGATGAAAATTTGGATTCTCGACTTTTCATTGTTTCTCGTAGCTCTTTGAAAATGAAGTGATTGCTTCGGGTTGATAGATAGATTATTGTAACCATTTTTAGTATTAAATTGGATAGTATTCTTTCTGTTTAAATTGTAAATTAATAGCAGAGAGTTAGGGTAGTTGGAAATAAAACAAGAATATTATCTATAATAAATAATCTATCATTACGAATATTTCAATTTTCTTGTCTGATATAATTTCGTTTTCTTTTTCAGTGTGAAAAGTGAAAAACCTGTGACCAGGTGATGAACATTCCTAGAGCCAATATACATTTTGTTAAGGTAACAAACAGAAAGCAACAGTAAGCTTCATAAAAATAATTAGCTTCGAAAGATTCTACAAAGCAAGTAAATAAAGTAGAAATAGTCAGCCACGAACAGACATCTTAACAAATCCCAATCACAAGCTTCGAAACGTGATTATCTTATAAAAAGAACATTCAACAAACTTTCGCTCTAGATCATCTACTTTCCTCGCGTAGAATCATCTTTCGAAACTAACCTCATTGTCCACATAACCCGGCATCCAGTTTATTCGAAACTCGTAAACAATATTTCATACCAGTAATAATACCGCACCGCGTACATCACCCAGAATTATCACCCCCATTATTTCAATTTTTCGACGCGTCCGGTATCAACGAAACGAATGACCTATCGTCAAATTATAATACCAGCGAGCCGCGGCAAACACCGTTGAAAAGTTCACGGGGTTGGCGTAGCTCGTAAATCTCGCAGGCTCGTCGGGAGTCGCCTGAATATTAATGCAATAAACAATATTCGGGATCCGTCCGTCGCCGAGCCCGCCCTGGCTTTGCAAATAATTTTTTTAACCGCGTTTTTAAACACGTCCACCGGCGTCCTACCACACCGATCCCACGCCTTTCACCTTGATCGTAATAAAAAACTGTTTAAATCTCCACGGCGAGCCAATTAGCCACGTCAAAACCCGTAACTGCGTCGACACACAGTGCGACCATACGACAGTTTTCTAGATAAAGCTTAACAATTTAAAAAGTACGAGTGACAGAGGAAAATGCTTGAGACAAAAGTTATAAGAGCTAAACGTATGATGGTTGCATCTTTGTTTACATTATGGGGATATTACGAGGTTCTTTTAATAGCAATGGACATTTTGCATTTCTATTGAAACGTTATATAAACAGAGAAACGAAATTTATTTGCACAAAATTTATATTTTTCATAGTATAGTAGTGACTACTTAGCAACACTTTCGTCAATTTGAATTTTCGGTTATATGTATCCAACCGACTACACCTGACCATCGATTTAACCGAAAATCCATTCCATGTGGATTCGTTTGAATGGAGATCGCGTAAATAGTCTGCTGGTGCAAGAGAAAACAAAATATTGGGAAGAGAAGCTGGTATATGTTTCAGAAATACATATTTTTGTTTCAAATAGCGTTTAAAGTTGTATCAAGTCATTAACGGCCGTCATTCTCTTATTACATTATTTTCTTCAATAAGTGTGTTTATTATATAAATTGTCTGAAATTTCCCATTTTGCTTTTCTCGAGGTTTCCATTTAACCGCTTGCCCTACGATTTAATTTCGCAGTTACACATGTTAGAAGTATCTTTCGTAAATAATGCACTAATAAAGAAGAAATTCGATGCTCTTCCCATGTCTAGAATTACTCTAAACCATACAAATTGTTAACAGCAAAAATAATGTTTCATTTGAACTCAGAAGAACTGAATGACATTTGTATTTATTAAACAATATTGAAAATCTTTGCCACGATTTTAGTGGGTCAACGTTGTGCTTGGCAAGGAGACTTTTGTATTTGGTACAATGAAGAAGTAAATGTAATTGTCCGTGCACATTCGTTACAAATGGGTATTGTATCTTTTAATAACGTGTGAGCGTGACTTTCATATTCCCGATTCTTTCCTGTTTATTGCCATTTGTTCTATTCTGGGCAATTCATTTGGATATTTGAATATACGAAAGGAATTGTCCGATATGTGAATACATACTCATATCGCATAGACGAACAAAAGAAATAAAAACGCCCGACAACTCAGAAAACAAACCAACATTGTATTCCGTATTACTGAATTCGGCTCTCGCGTACAAACCACGGGAATATCCTAATTTACCGGACAAAAAAGCGAATCGCGTAAAAGAGTGCCGCGTAAATCGAGGTTCAGGTGTGCGTTCTTTGTTCCCTTGTTTCCTTTTCATTCCCCTCTCCCTCTCGGCGTATAAACGTAATTTCACGTGTCGCTTACAGCTCTTTCAAGCTGTTTTTCGTCCGCGCACGGTATTTCCGACGGAGTTCTCCATTTTCCGTGCTCCCGCTGTGCTTCCCTTCCATATTCCGCCGGGGAAAGGACGCTCCGCGGGAAAAGGGAAATTCAGTCGGAATTTTGTTAGACCCGATTCGCGTTTTGCCCCATAAACTTTTTATTCCCGGAACAGGTTCTCGAATAATTTATCGTTTTATTGCGACCGATTTCACGCGCGGCGATTCCTCTTCGAAATGAAACGTCATACACTGTACCGGAAGGAAAAGGAGAGACGTACGGGGGGCATGGGGTGGGGGAGGGAGGCACGAGTAAAAAGCGAACGATGTCATTGTTGCAAGACGAATGTAATTACGGCTCGCAGCGAAACGAATTTATTGACGCCGGAGTGATTGGCGTCACGGTCTGAAAAGCATCGACCGATTTTTCTGGTTCTCCCCCTTCCCCACTTTTTTTTAATTGTGTTTCGCTGGTTCACCGCCATCGAACGTCAACCCTTTGTCCTCCGTAAACGTCCGGGAGAGGACGTCGATCTCGTGGAACGTCGAATTAGACCGCTAGTTACGGGACTGCTGGAAAACTGTTTCTATAAAAGCTATTGGCAGGCATATTCGACAGGAAAATCGCCTTGAAATGTATTCTATAGTTCGCTTTTTATCCTTTTTCCCTGTTTTCTGTTGTTTTTTTAAGGTGAATCTATACCTGTTGCTTTCCCCATGTTTGTCAATAGTTAATCAATTTTATTTCATTCTGTGTATTTTCCTCTTTTTCATTTATTCCCCTTTTCCCCTTTGCTATTTGCGAAATTATGTAGCTTCAATATTAAAGGATTCAACTTGTAAATGGATTAATATGTTACAAATTGAATTGATAAAGTAAAAATAGCTGGAAAGAGGATTCGACATTTTTGTCCGTCCTTGTTTCCACGGCAATTTCGCTCGGTGTGTCATTCAATCACGCGTGCACGCGGCAGCGGTAAACACGCTACGTGCTCATTATTTGATCGTGTTACACGCTTCGCCAGAGTACTGTTCGAGAAATCTTCGTTTACGGTTGCAGCAACTTCGTGGTTTGCTTCTAAGAGTATGTTGCTAAATTGTTCTGGTATCTGATTAACATCTTCGCCTTTTTCTTTTCAATTCAGCATTTCTATCGTGTTGTATGAATGAAGATTCGAAGTAAGTGCATTCAATGATCGTAGAAAGTCGTGGAAGTTCGTTTCGTCGAACAAAATGAACAGTGGAGCTCTTTATTTTCACTGGAAAGACACGAAAAACATTTTAATAGGGAGAGAGAGAGCTAAAAGATTTCTCATTCTTATGAATCTTTGGTGGAAAATAGTTGAAGCGGAGTTAGTCATATTCAACGGGTGAAAACAGTTTCTGGAGTAATGGGGTGAGGCTGGTATTCGCTGAAGAATCTCGGAAACTTTGTACAGAATCAGAATTTTCTGATCTTGAAGGAATTTCAAGAAGGAAATGAATGGGAACTTTCATAAAGAAATTACATAGGAACTTGTATTCTCTTGTGGATCGTTTAATAAATTCTAAAGAAAACAGCTGCTGTACATAGGGAAATTTACCTCGCACAAAACAAAACACAAACAACGACAACCACAAATATCAACACAACATAAACAACAATATCCACAAATATCAAAACACGAACTACTACTACCCCAGAGACCAAAATCTCGAGAACTTTAAACGCAAAAGCGAAAGAGAAAATTTGTAAGCAGACAAAGCCTGATAGTTCCGTTGGATTCCGAAGAAAGGGGCTTTGTTCTTTGCCGTTTCGTTGCACTCATCGCGATCAGATATAAGGAACAAAGCTGCCGCGGAGTTTGAACGCGAGCGGACTATCCGAGGTTCGGGGGTATCGAGCACGATAGAGCGTGATCAAAGTCGAGCAGGTCCCTCTTCATTCGGGAACGCGCTTTACCCGGCTCAATCCAAGTATACGTACGCGCTCCCGGAGACTCATCTGCTGATGGCGCCCGCACCGAATTCGATGGGTCTCCGTGCTGTTCCTGGTTCGCTGGGACACGTGTCCCGAAAGCGGACGCGATGGAACATGGTACGGGACGGGTTATCCGCGCGGAATACTCCACGCGCTGGGCGAAAGGAAAAGAATCCGGATACGGTCGACCGTCGTTCGTGCCGTGTATAAATTTTCGGGGATACGTCGTGCGGCGTTCCTAGACTTTGATCCCTTCTATTAAACCCTTGCACACCGAACTTCCTTTGCATTTTTCCCTCGATAACTCTGTATTATTACGACATTTGATTTGAAATGCATTTGATAAAACCGTTTGTAGAGAGCAATTTAAACGATTCTTCTTATTAATAATATTGAAGATAACATAATAAAATAATGTATTGTAAAAATATTTTGACAAAGCACACCTGTGAATAAAACTGATTACTGAAAATTTGTATTTGACATTAGTTGTCTTATATGTTAGAATTGTTTAGCATTTGTGTTATATAATTGTCCTACATCAACATATAACAATAGTTGTCTTATAAGCTATAATTATTTAACGAGACACGCCGAATGCCATGCGAGTTCGTAGAGTAAATTACACGAAATTAAATCATTCGATTGAATTGCATTATTATTATTGCACGTCCGTCTTGCCAATTCTCATCGCATTAGGTAGCATTGTTTATAATATAGAAATATCTTCAAATAATCATCGTACGGACGTGTATCGTCATTGTTTATTATTCAAATTTCTCAAAAGGCAAAAGGATCTTTTAACAGACGCGCAACCAGCACGACAAGCTTTCCCGGCGCGCCGGTTCCATATTAATTATAGCGCCATTGTCAATTCAATCCGCCGCGGGACTTTGTCAGACGACGTTTTAAATTGACCGCAAGGTTATTATCTCTCATGGTTAATTAAAAATAGTGTCCCCGTCAACCGGAGAGATGCTAATAATAAATTTTAAAAATGAGAGAATTTCTTTGCCCTGAGGGAACTGTTACGATTTTGAATGTTGTTTGTG